TATATATGAATATATAAAAAATATATCAAAATGCGTGTGGGTACTCAAATGAAAGCTCTTGATGAGTGTAACGCCATGATGAGCTTATATCTTTAAAAACATAAATATTCAAGAAAGTACAGAGCAATTTAACAAAAGTACCTAAATACATAAATGCAATAAAAACTATTCAATCTACTCACGTGTAGTAGGAGTAGTTGGAGCTGGAACAGCTACTGGAGTAGTAGGAGGAGCATAAGACTGCGTAGCAGCAGGAGCAGCTGCTGGAGTAGCCGGAGGATTGATTGGAGCAAGACCCTGAGCATACTCCGGGGTGGTGGAGGCTTCTGCCGGAGGAGTAGCAGCTGCGACAGCAGCAGTCTGAGCTTCTGCGACTTTCTTCTGCTGTTCCTCCAGCTCGAGCATTCGCTTTCGTTTTTTCGCCTGCGCGTAGCCCAAAGGCTGCTCTGTAATGTCCAGGAGTTTGATCCCTCCGTCCTTCCTGATCCTGCTGCTGATAGGCGTCCTGGTGTACATCGAGGAAGGAGTCAGAGCTGGAGATCTGAACCCTCCCGTTGGCACTCGGCTCGGAATTCCCTTCAGCGGCGTAGTGTCGGTCATTTTTCTCGGCATTCCTCGGCTGCGAACCGGCACCGTCGGCGCGGTGCTCTTCTTCATGTTATTCGCGGCGTCGATGCTCTTCTGGACCAACTCCGCTCTTAGCGCAGCGCTCTTGGGCTTCCTTTTCAGTGTAAAATGCTTCGTCGGCGCTGGTTGTTGCCCGACTACCGATATCAAGGCCGTTTTATTGAGGTAGTGACATTCCAAAGGCAGCATTGTCAAGTCTGTTTGCTTCTTCAGTAGCTTCCTCAGGTCGTTTACCAACTCGCTGAATATTGGACGCTGCTCGTCCAGGTCTGATATATCTGTGTTTAATGATCCAGTTGCTGGCAGGGTCTTCATCGCTTCGGATAACATTGACACCCACAAATCGCTGTCCACTGACGCAATTTCAATAACTTCCTCCAGTTCATTTCTCCACTAAACAATTAGAAATTTTATTAAAATTAATTTAAGATATTTAAGAATTTTTTTAATAAAATTAAAAAAAAAAATTAGACAAAAATTGATGATATTAAAGTTAGCCGAATTTTTTTATTTTTTTTTTTAATTTATTAAATTAGAACTAAAAAAATTGTTTTTTTAATTGCACTTATAGCTCTTCAAGTTTTTTTTACAAATTTAACAAATAAAAATTTTTTTTTGTTAATTTTTTCAATGAAAAAAAAATTATAAAAATTTTTAGATGTCGGCTAACTTAATTTTCATTAAAAATTGACATGTAGAAATTTAGAAAAAAAATAAAAAATGCAATTTTTTAAGAAGTTACATTTAATTAATAAAAATTAATTTTGTAGATATTTAATCATTTTTGTAACAGATAAATTATGTTAAAAAAAATTAAACAAAAAATTGACATGTAGAAATTTAGAAAAATATAAAAAATGCTATTTTTTAAAAAGTTAAATTTAATGTCATTAATTAATTAAAATTAATTTAGCAAATAGTTAATAATTTTTGTAACAAATAAATTATGTCAAAAATATTGACGTAAAAATTAAAAAAAATTAAAAATTAGTTAAGTGACTGCTAATATTAATTTTGATTAATAAAATGATAATTATTAATTATTCATCAATGAAAGCCCGCCATCAGCACAGATGGCGTTCAGGTAAATGTTTTTAAAGCAATTAAGTTACTCAATTACTTTTCTGGCGTAAAAATAAAAACATAACTGCTAAATTAAATAGATAAATCCACCAAAATGATGAATAAATAGAGAAATAATAAAATTTATCAATTATAAAGTATGATGAGCAATTAGTGATGTTGTTACCTCTTCAACATTGCGTCTTGGTATGTGGAAAAAAGAAAGCAGTAATTTGAGCTTAACTTGGGTCTGCAGCTCGGCAAAACAATCCTTTATATTACGTAAAACCTCGGCATTTAACTGAGAACAAATAGAACTGCCAGTCCAACTATCATTTGATATTCCCAATTTATTATGCAGCCACAACGAAGTATCACTATCTCTCACGTTCGCCATATTGGAGTCGTGTCAGAGTTACCACGATGGATAGTTAAAAAATTGTGTTTATATTATTGTTATTGCAGCTTACTCGGTCTTAACTCTTACTTTTACGTTACGCGAATCGCCAACCTACCGAACAAGGTCATCGGAATTCCTCCGTGGTGCCACCTGGTGGCAAAAAAAATGGAGTACATTTTATACAACTATTATCATTAAATATTTTTTTAATTAATTGAATTAGAACTAAAAAAATATTATTAAAAAATTGCACTTATAGTTTTTCAAATTTTTCTTTATAATCATTTTTTTAATAAAAAAAAAATTCTAAAAATCGTCAAATGTTTGCTTATTTTATTTTTATATATTTTATAAATTATTCTTTATTCATTTGAATAATTTTTTCCCGCCCAAGAGAGAGTGACACCATTTTACCGACGTAATGCCACCATTTAAAAATAAAAATCTGACTAGATTTATTTTCTCAAGGTTGCAAACTCGCAGGAAAAATCCAGCCTGCCACTTTTAGAGTTCTTTTTATACATCTACTCGGGGTAAGCGAATCTCGTGATATTTTATTTAATTTAAATCCAATAAATCCGTAATTATATCTGCCAATTAATATAAAAATATCCTAACTAATAAAAGACACACAATTATTCTTTTGTATTTTGTTAATATTTATGGTATTAATCTTCTGTTTGTTATGTTAGAGTGATTATTAAGCAAGCGCAATTTTTAGGTTGCGTTGACACTTGGATTTTTACCTGCATGTGATTTTTATTATTTATTAAAAAATAAATATTGAACAAAATAATTTTAATCTAATATTTTTAAAATAAACTTTTATTAAAATTGAATTGTTAAATTGTGTCCTTACTTGAAATTGTTGATTGAGGTTAAGTTTGATTGTTAATATTAATACTTATAATTATAATCTGTGTATTTTTTAGATGGCTGACACTAAAGCAAAGACCCCAGCCAAACCGGCGGCTTCTGCTACCCCCGTCAAGAAGGCGGGTAAGCCAAGGAATTACGATCTTGGCAATGGAGTTTATAGATTTAGTAGAACTCGTATGTTCCACAAGAAAGCTTTGTGGAAATTCCTTGATAAAAAAACACCTAAAACAGTAAGCTTCATTTTTTATTTTTTAATTAATTAATTATAATAAAATTAAATTATTGTCAAAAAATTTTCTCTAAAAAAAATTAACACTTGCAAATAAATAAATTTTTTTTTTTAATTGTAAATTTAATTTTAAAAACTCCAAAAAAGTTATTAAATTTCTTCTGATTTTGGTATTTAAATAATTGGCTCTAATTATTTTAATAATTGAATAATTTAATGAGAATAATTATCCAAATTTTTATAAATTATTAAATTAGTTTGTTTTTTTGTATTTTTATACTTGAAGAAAATTTTTAGATTGTAATTTAAATAAAAATACTAATATTAATATTAATGATTTAAATTTCTAGGTCAAGCCGAAGAAACCATTGACAATTGAAAAGAAAATCAATGGCGAAAAGAATGGAGGAACCAGAATCGTTCGTCTCCAAAAAAGACGAGCCAATTACCCGACGGTGGACCCGGTCACTGTTCACCATGCCAAGAAGACTTACCGTGAGCACTCCCGGTACACCAGACCGTCCCTGGTACCAGGATCTGTATTAATCCTTCTTGCAGGACGTCACAAGGGAAAGCGAGTTGTTCTCTTGAAAGTTTTAAAAAGTGGACTGCTTTTAGTTACTGGTAAGTTTTTTTTTTTTTAGCATTTTAATAAATTAATTATTAATAATTGATTAACAAATTTATTAATAATAATTTATTAATACATTTAATTAATAATTATTTATGATTAAACTTATTATTATGATTAGTTATAAATTATTATTCATAAATTTAATCATAATTCATTCTTAATAAATTTATTAATGAACTTATTGATAATAATTTTTATATCTTTGTCCATCAGGTCCATTCTTGATCAATGCTTGTCCAATGAGACGGGTAAGCCAGAACTACGTCATCGCTACATCAACTCGTCTGGACATGAAGAACGTCCAAGTTCCCGAGAAGCTCGATGACGCTTACTTCAAAAGGAAGCGTGAAAAGCGGGCGAAGAAAGAAGAAGGTGATATCTTCACCAAAAAAGCTGAAGAATATAAAGCTAGCGATGAAAGAAAAGCCGACCAGAAGGTAGTCGACAAGATGGTCATTGGAGCTATCAAAGCTCACCCCGATAAAAAAATGCTTTTTACTTACTTGTCAGCTATGTTTGGGTTAAGAAGTAGCCAGTACCCACACAGAATGAACTTTTAATGTGGAGAGTTGGTCATTTAAATAAATATATACTTGAAAAATTCAGATTTATTCTTCGTCATTTTTCCTTTGACTCTTTTTTTTATTTTTTTATAACTCAGTTAATTTTTGTTGAAATATTAATTATTAAATTTTTAATTTTATTATAAAAAATTAATTCAGATATTTTACACGGAAAGAACAAGATGACACTGGATACCATCTCAGATTATACTCGGTGACATCTGAGGCGAAAAAAAATTTCAGATGGTAGCTAGTATAATCCAGATTATACTAGCTATTATCTGAAATTTTTTAATAACTCAGTATAATCTGGGATTATATCCAGTATGATCTTGTTCTTTCCGTGTATAATTCTAAGAATTTTTTTTAATAAATTAATTAAGGCAGAAAAAAAATTGACATGTAAAAATTATAAAAAGTTAAAAATGTAATTTTTTATAAATAAGTTATCAAAAAAAAAAAAATTTATTTGTTGTATAAAAACTCAAGTGTCATAAAACTAACCTAAAAAAAAAATGTCAGCTGTTTTACCGACCAATAAAATGAATAAAATTTTGTCAACAGAAAATAGTAATCACTGAGCATTGAATGTTGTACACACATCAAAAGCACAAATATAAATTCAACTTTAATTAAAATAAATCTTATAATTAAATTACTTTATAGTTTATCAAGGATATTTACTAAAAAACCAGCGTTTATTGTGGAGAGATAAAATAACCTGGCAAGTAGTTTTAATAAATATAAATATATATATATATAGAATATAGACAACAATAACTTACATGTCAACGTAACCTATCAAGCTTGAAATAATATCGTGTCATCGATAAATAATAACAACAATGGAGAAAAGTGATAAAGACAGTATCCCGTCAAATGAAGCTATAATTGACGAGCTGACCAAAGATTTAGAAAATTCGTGCGTCAAATCCGAGCCAGAGGAACAAAGTACCCAGGGAGTGAGTTCAGAGCCTGACTTTGATTGCGAGGAGAAACCTCCGGAGAAAGATTTTGTTGATGAAGAGAGACTCAAGGATCGTGAGGTTGATTTGTCGGAAGAAGAAAAAGAGGTGATTTTTTTATTAAAATTAATTTATTAGACATTTTATGAATTTTAGTAACAAATAAATTATACAAAAAAAAATTGACATGTAAAAATTTTAAAAATATTTTTTTTGAATAAATTTATTTGTTAAATAAAATTAAAAAATTATCTCAAATTATTCTTTATTTTTATTTTAATTATTGTTTTATATTCCTAGAGCCTGAAAGTTGAAGCAGAGACGCTTAAAAATGAAGGAAATAATTTTTTTAAAGCTTGTGAGTACAGCAGCGCAATTATATTATACACACAAGCTCTGCAGACCTGTCCGCTGGCGTATCCAGAGCAACGCGCTATTCTCTACGCTAACAGAGCAGCTGCCAAGGCTAAGGATGATGTAAATTATATTGATTTTTTCTCAGACAGCTGATGATTTTTTTTTATTTTTTTAATAAATTAATTATAGCAAGAAAAATGTATTTTAAAAATTCCATCTTAAAAAACTTGAAAAAAAAATCAAGGATATTTTTTAAAAATAATTTTCTATACTTAGTTAATTTTTTAAAAAAATTTTCAAGTGTCTGGTAACTTTATTGTCATTATTTCTTCTTTATTTTCATTCTATGATATTAAAGTTAGCTGTCACTTAACCATTCTTCAATTTTATTTAACAAAAAAATTATTTTAAAAAAATTGCATTTTTAATTTATTAAATATTCTAAATGTCAATTTTTTTTCTTATTTTTTTATTAGAAAAATTTTTAAAATTATTAAATATCTGCTAAATTAATTTTCATTTTCATTCTGAAGATTGTAATTTATTTATATGTATATTTAATTACAGGACAAGGAATCAGCGATAAAAGACTGCACAAAGGCTGTAGAATTGAACCCAGCGTACCTAAAAGCTTACTTGAGACGCGCTCAGTTGTACGAGCAGACGGATAATCTTGACCAGTCACTGGCTGACTACAAGAAGATCCTGGAACTGGACCCTGGTCACTCAGAAGCGCATCACGCTGTTCGAGTAATTATTTTAATAATTTATTTTTATTGAGAAGAAATAAAAAATTAATAAATAAATAAATTTATTTATTTACAGAGATTACCGCCGCTGATTGAAGAAAAGAATGAAAAACTCAAAGAAGAAATGCTTGGCAAGCTAAAAGACCTCGGAAATATGATTCTTAAACCATTTGGACTGTCTACGAATAATTTTCAGTTAGATAAAGACCCTTCTACTGGAGGCTATTCTGTTAAATTTAATCAGGGTAACACTTAGTTTGTGCGAGGTAAAAAATGAATAAATAAAATAAAATATCTATTCATTTTTTATTTTATTTTTAATAATAAATATTAATATTAATAATGATAATGTATTATGTAAAGTTATTGATTATTACGATGATAAAAATATTTTTTTTTGCTTTAAGGTACTCAATTGTATTTTTTAATCATTATCATGTTAGTAATCCTTTTCAGTGGGGTTTTTTAGTCTCGTATTTCAGCGATAAAATTATCGTATTATTCTTCTGGTATTTTTTTTTTTTTGGTATGAGTCATTGACACAATAAACTAATCAACATATTTGCCGATAAAAAAAAGTTTATTATTATTCACTGTATGAGCACTAATTAAGTTACTATATCTTTTAAAATATTTAAGATAACCCCGTAGTATAAAAATGTTTTTTGTAGGAAATTTAATAAGCTACTGTTTTGGTCTCATGATTTTTCTCAAAAATGAATATTTTAGGATCTATAGTCATTTTTAATGATTAGATCATGATTGCTTACTTTTAACTTTTTGAGCACTAATTAAATTACTATATCTCCCAAAATATTGAAGATAGTCCCATAGTATAAAAACATTTTTTATAGGAAATTTTATGAGCTACAATTATGGTCTCATAATTTTTCTCAAAATTCATTATTTTAGGAGTTATAGTCATTTTTATAATGACTAACTAATAATTTCTCATTTTTTATTTTTTTAGCACTCAGTTACTATATCTCTTAAAATATTGAAGATAGCCCCATAGTATAAAAACATTTTTCATAGGAAATTTCCTAAGCTACAATTTTGGTCTCATGATTTTTTTCAAAGATCAATATTTTAGGAGTTACAACCATTTTTATAATGACTAGATCATGATAATGATTTTTTACTTTTCAATTTTTGGGCACTAAGTTACTATATCTCCTAAAATATTGAAGATAGCTCCATAGTATACAAACATTTTTCATAGGGAATTCCCTAAGCTACAATTTTGGTCTTATAATTTTTATTTTAAATCAATATTTTAGAAATTACAGCCATTATTATAGTAACTAAATAATGATTTTTAATTTTTCAATTTTTGAGCACTAAGTTACTATATCTCCTAAAATATTGAAGATAGCTCCATAGTATAAAAACATTTTTTATAGGAAATTTTCTAAACTACAATTTTGGTCTCATGATTTTTTTCAAAAATCAATATTTTAGGAGTAACAGCCATTTTTTAATGACTAGATGATGATTTTTAATTTTTAACTTTTGGAGCACTAATAAAGTTACTATATCTCCTAAAATATTCAAGATAGCCCCATAGTATAAAAACGTTTTTAATAGAAAATTTCCTGAGCTACAATTTTGGTCTTATATAATTTTTCCCAAAAATCAATATTCCAAAAGTTACATCCATTTCCAAACTAACTAAGTGATTTAATATTTCATTCAAATTTTTATCATTATTATTATTGTTGTTATTAAATCCAAGACATAATATCAATGAAGATAATTAAAATAACAAAATAAATTCGCACGCTGTGCATGTTTTTAGCGTTTCATTGAAGTAAAAAGGTCGTGATAGTAAATCCTCGGTGAGATAAAAAGAAGAATATTATTATGATGGCATATATTGCTGAGAGGGATAAGGATGATAGAAAAAGTAAAATAAAGAGGCCAGAGAATTAAAAGCTGTGTATTGAAGAGGGTGGGGAAGAGCAAATGAAATTGAGGGCTGAGGGTTGGGGTGTTGGGTGAACCAACGTTCTCCATCTCCATCTCCAATACCAGAACTCAAAGCTTCAACCCTATTCCGGTGCGCGCAAGCGTCCCAATAGCTTCAAGCTCCCATTATAATCGTCAACTAGCGTAGGCGTATGAGAACCGGCCGCGAGCTCGGTCTCCGATCCTCGGCCTAGAGTTTAACAATAATTAAAATAAAATTGTTACCAATTTTAATACAGAAAATTTTTTTATGTGTAAAAGTGGATTTTTTTTTAATTAATATTAAAGAAATTTCTTCACTGAAGACTATCATCTTCAAGAGCAAGAAGACTAGTTATAGTCTGAAGATAAAATAAGCAAGAGCAATTGCAACACCAAGAAGAAATAAATTAATTAATAAATTAAAAGAAGAAATAAATAAAAAGTGGAGGTGACATGTGAGCACTTGAATTAAAATAAAAAATAATAATAGTCCAATAAATAGACTTCGGAAAGTCTAGAAGAGTGGAAATGCCGAGCACTAAGGTAAGGATTGTTAATACTCTAAGAAGCTAAGAAGTTTATCCTCAGCGCTGATTAAGATGCCCCGGGATGGGCTTTGTAAATCAATAATTTCACCATGTTACCGACAAGTTGACATGACCTGAGAGATAACCCATTTTTAAATAAACTTTTGGGATTAATTATTCGCAAAGGCCTGGGCATCGCTCATCCTCACTACGTAGTCGAGGTGTATTGTACTAGTATGGTAGTATAGTGGTGTGTATGTTGTATACTTACTTGAATCGACGGCGCCTGGCATAGTATTGGTATTGGAGCTCGCTGTAGTGTAGTCGTCATTGCTCGCATAGTAGTGGATCTATAATTCAATTGCCACCTTATAGATTCTTAGATGCTTGACATCCATGCGACGGTATTTGCGTTATAATACGGTGATGCATTTACTATCGACACGTAATCGAGACTCGAGTGATTTCCGATTTCAATGCTAATTTATTTTATTACCGCTTCTAGGGGAGATCTTTATTCGAATCAATGTCTTCTGAAAAGTAATCACTTGAATTAGTTGTTTTTATGGGATTTAAGTTAACAGTTAGTTGAATTTTTTTTTAATAAATCAATTTAATTTTTTATTTCTTCTTTTCAATTTTTTTTTGCTATAATTTATTTATTAAAAAAATTATTCAATGTCTGCTAAATTAATTACATTAAATTTAACAGTCACTTGACTATTATTAAAAATTTTTTTTAATAAATAAAATTGTTATAAAAATTATTTAGAGAAAAATTGCAATTTTAACTTAAAATTTCTTCATGCAATTTTTTTTTGCCATTATTTATTTGTTAAAAAAATTATTAAATATCTGCTAAATTAATTTAAATATAATTAAGCTGTCACTTGATTTTTTTTTTTAACAAAAAATTTGTTTAAAAAAATTGTATTTTTAATTTTTTAAAAATTTCTTCTTTTCAATTTTTTTTTGCCATAATTTATTTGTTAAAAATTCATTAAAATTATCAAATATCTGCTAAATTAATTGTTATTTTTTTTATGTAATAATTTTTTTTTTAAATCAAAAGACATTTTAATTTTTCTGTATTATTTAACAAGTAAATAAATTTTTTTAAATTAATATTTTTATTTTATTTTTAAGAATAAGTGTTAAAAATAAAATAATTATACAATTATTAAAATCAATATTTAAACTAGCAATTTTCTGATAAGAAAAATATGAGTAATTTTTATCACAAAATATTGATCAACATTATGATAAAAAGAAAAAAAGAAGTTATAATTTATAATTTACCATAAATATTGATCAAAATAAATAAATAAAATAATTCATAAATATATTTGTTTTAGTAGTTTACTTCGAAGGACTTTGAAGAAGTTTACAGTTAGCGGAAATTGTAGCCACTACTTATCGTTGTTATTGCGCAACTTGTGTTTGATGTAATTACAGTTTCTGATTGTGTTGTTGTAATAGTAATGCAATTAATGGCCAGGAGAGAAAAAAGTAACTGAAAAAAGAAAAAGATTAAGTTAAATTAATTCGAGTAAGAGATAAAATTTAATAACACTCTTAAATATAACAAGAGATTTTATTTATCATTTTTGTTCGGTGTTATCTTTGAGGGTGACACTAAAAGTGCCAGGATATTTTATCAGGATGAATGACTGGAGGGTAACTTAATAAGGATTGCTCTGTATGAGATCCCTCGTTTTTTTCCCCTATCATCTTCACCCTGATTGGAGGCGTTTGGTTTTCTCTGACGGCTGACAAGTCAATCTGGGGACAAAAATGATAAATAAAACGTCGGAAGTTTAATGACTGGCAGTTATTTTTGTTGGAAAAATCCATTTGTTTAATTTTTTTTTAAATTAAACAAATTAATAATTTAATTCATATTATTAAGAGAAGAAGCCAAATCTCTAGATATATAATTAAGAAATTACCTTGTATCTTGTGAAATATTAACATTTTTAAAGATATAAGCTCATCCCGATGTTACACTCATCGAGACCTTTCATTTGAATACCCACATCAATTTTTCATATATTTATATATATTATATATATATGTATATATGAAAAATATATATCAAAAATGCATGTGGGTACTCAAATGAAAGCGTATGATAAGTATAATACCGGGATGAGCTTATATCTTTAAAAATGTCAATAGATAAAAAAGTACAGTGCAATTTAACAAAAGTCACATAGTGCCTGCAAGGTTGCTAGTTTATTATTAATTAGTATGATAAATTATTTTTGAATTTATTTTTTACCTGGACTCTAGCTTCAGTTAACTGTATTCTCAATGCCAGCTCTTCACGGAAGAAGACATCTGGATAATGCGTTTTTTGAAACGCGCGTTCTAATTCTTCTAATTGGAAGTTTGTAAATGTTGTACGGTACCTTCGTTGTTTTCTTTTTCCAACTCCGATTGTTATTTGGTGACGTTCTTCGCTCCCAGGACTCGGTGAAAAATCGTATGCTTTTAATTTAAAAATTTTAATAAAATATTTTAAATAGAAAATCAATAATTAAAATAGATAATTCATTTTATATATTTTATATATATCAGAAATACCATATATATAAAATATATAAAAATTGTCATGTAGGTATACTCAAATGAAAGATCTCGATGAGTGTAACATCAGAATGAGCTTATATCTTTAAAAATGTCAAGAATTAAGAAATGACCTTGTATCTTGTCAACTATTGACATTTTTAAAGATATAAGCTCATTCTAGTATTACACTCATCAAGACCTTTCATTTGAGTACCCACATCAATTTTTCATATATTTATATATATTATATATATGTATATATGAAAAATATATCAAAAATGCATGTGGGTACTCAAATGAAAGCTCTTGATGAGTGTGACATCGAAATGAGCTTATATCTTTAAAAATGTCAATAATTAAGAAAGTACAGTGCAATTTAATAAATATATTTTAAATAGTTTTATTTTTTCAGTGTATCATATATTGAAGAAGAAACTTTAAAAAAGAGCTCGGATGAAATTTCTGTAGTTTAAAATCGATGATACTTTGGCGGAGGTTCAAAGATTATTTCCCGGACATAATACTTTGCGTTAACAAGCTGAGGATTAAATTTTTCTTAAAAACTTGTTTCTCCAGTACTGTTAACAAGTTTGCTATAATTGCTGAGATTTATCAATTAAATCAGGAAGGTTTTAATTGACTATTACTCGGTAATAAAACAATTATAGAAAGAGGATGGCAGCGAGACAATTAAATAGGAAGACGAGAGAATGAGAATGGAAAACAGAGAGGGGTGAAGTGGACGGTCGATATGTAGTGAATAGCTAAATCCGATATATATTTGACAGATATATAAAGAGAGTTTTCCGATGCTTTACAAAACGTTGACTCATCTGTTTTCCTCCAATGAATAAAACTATTCAAGTTTCTTGTGTATTTCTCATCTGTGACCCGCTGCCCGATCGATCCGGGTTATGTACTCTACTCCAGTCTACTCCGTGTAACACTTTTCGTATACAGTATTCCAATCAGATTTACTGACACACTATATTATTCCAAATTTTGTTTTGTTCTCCGAGATTCTATTGTGTTAATCATGTCTCGAGGGTGTTTGCTGCTTCGCATTAAGTTTCGGGATCCAATCATACTAAAACTTTCTAGAAACTTTATTTTTAAATGACGTTGACAGTACACTCAATGAATTTCATTAATGATGTCTGAAAAATCATTTAAAATTATTAATAGTTAAATTTTTAACAAAAAAAAAATTCCACATGAAGTTTTTTAAAAATTAAAATTAATTTACCAGATTATTGACAATTTTTGTAACAAATAAATTATAGAAAAAAAAATTGACATGTTGAAATTTAAAAAAATGCAATTTTTTTAAATAATATACTAAAGTTAGCCGACGTTTTTAATTTCTTAATTTTTTTTAATAATTAAATTAGAAAAAAAATACATTTTTTAAAAATTGCACTGATAGTTTTAAAAGTTTTTTACAAGTAAAATTTTTTTTTTATTTTTTTTGTAATCATTTTTTCTATAAAAAAAAATTCCAAAAACTTTTAAATATCAGCTAAATAACTTAATTTTCATTTTTTTTTAAATGATTTTTTGGGACAAATTTTTTTATTGAATAAACTAAAAAAAAATTATCAAATGACTGCTAACTATAATTTAATTTAAAATAATTTGATTTGTTCTAAAAATTTTTAAAACTGTCAGCTGTTTGCTAATTTCAGCATCATAACCTTAAAAAAAAAAAACAAAACAAATTTTTTAAATAATGTATGATATTATAAAAAGTAAACTTTATGACCTTAGAAATATAAATAAATAAATAAATAAAGTTATGACTTACCGTTCGATAGCGCTAAATTTTTTTATAATACACTGAAATTAACATACATTTGATAGTTTTTATAAATATATTAATCAATAGTACTTGTCATTAATATTATATTCTTCTCATTAATAATTTTTCTTTTAATTGATAAGTTTATTTTTAATTTATTAAAAATTTTATTTAATTACTTAATCAATTTTTTTTTTCATGACACTGAAAAATGTCGGATTAAATTGTAAAAACTAAAACGTTCCAAAAAATAAATATTAATAATAATAATAATAATTTATTTTCAGCCTATAAACATGCGAAGAAGACTGTCACATCGACAAAAATGGCCTTTGCACCTGGGACTGTTTTTGGTGTACATAATTATTCAATTAGCGACGTCGTCATACTCTGCGTCGACATCTCCTCCAGAACTGGGAGTCCCGACGACAGTTACACAACCAGCGACACAGAAGCCGACTTCAGCACCTGCAGAACAAAAGAAAGAAGTAACCGAAGCTCCCAAGGCGGTTGAGCAAGCGAAAGAGAAGCCCAAGGTGGAAACAACACCCTCGCCTAAGACAAAAGACTCTTCTAAGGACAAGGCGAGCGAACCCGCTGTCAAGAAGGAGGCTAACGCTACCGCCAATTCGGTAATAAATTATTATTATTATTATTAATTTAAATTTAATTGAATGTTATAATTAGTTTAGTAGATATTTAATAATTTTTAAAAGTAATTTTTTTGGAATAAATTTGTTTGTTGAGAAAAAATTAAAAAATTGTCAAGTGACAGCTAAATTAAATGTTATTAATTAATGAAAATTAATTTAGCAGATATTTAATCATTTTTGTAACAAAAAAATTAAATCAAAAAAAATTATAAAAAAAAATTTGACATGTAGAAATTTTAAATAATTAAAAATTTAATTTTTTGGACCAAATTTCTTTGTTAAAAAAATTAAAAATTATGAAGTTAAAGCTAAATTTAATGTAATTAATTAATTAAAATTAATTTAGCAGATATTTAATAAATTAATTATGTCAAAAAAAAAATTGACATGTAGAAATTTTAATAAAGAATTAAAAATGTAATTTTTTGGATAAAATTTCTTTGTTAAAGAAATTAAATAATTGTGAATTTAAAGCTAAATTTAATGTCATTAATTAATGAAAATTAATTTAGCAGATATTTAATAATTTTTGTAACAAATAAATTATGTCAAAAAAAAATTGACAAGTAGAAATTAAAAAAAATTAAAAATACAATTTTTTAGACCAAATTTCTTTGCTAAAAAAATTAAAAATTACAAAGTTAAAGCTAAATATAATGAAATTAATTAATTAAAATTAATTTAGCAGATATTTAACAATTTTATTAACTTTAATAGACTCAAGTTCTAACAACAGCCGCGCCGAGGTCAGCAAATCCTACATGGAGGCCAAAACGCGCAAACTGCAGCCCGCCTGCAATCGAGCAGTTTCCCAGGCCGGTGATGGGTCCTGGAGCAAGAAAGCACGGCGGTCTTATCATCCACATCCTCGTCGCAGTTTACACTTTCCTGGGTCTAGCAATAGTCTGCGACGATTACTTCGTCGCTAGTTTGGACCGGATTTGCGAAGAATTGAGATTAACTCCAGATGTTGCCGGAGCGACGTTCATGGCAGCTGGTTCATCTGCGCCGGAATTGGCGACTGTTATAATAGGTGTCTTCTTCGCCAAAGATGACATCGGCGTCAGCGGAGTAATTGGAAGCGCAGTGTTTAATATCATGTTTGTAATATCCGTCTGCGGATTGTGTACCACGACAGTGTCGAAACTCAACTGGTGGCCGCTCTGCCGTGACAGCTTCTTTTACTTCATCTCTATTCTCATCATGCTTGGCACCATTTCCAATGAAATAATATCTTGGTATTGTATATTTATTTTATTAGATAATATGACAATAAATGTCAAGCTTGAAGAGGATTTTTGGTAGAGCTTAAACTTGTTTTGTAGGCCGGAGTCGCTTATCATGCTGATCATGTACGGGGTTTATTGTGTCGTTTTGTCCTACAACAGTCGGCTAGAGCGCTGGGCCAAGTCTTACAACATACCGTTTTTACCAAAAGACGATGAGCCGGCTGAAGAAAGTGCTTTGGTCAGTTACAGGTCACTTCAAGAAGATAGGACGTCTTATACTGGACCTAACTCACCTGTTACTGAACAAGTTAGATCTCAAGGTTGGTAATTATATTATGATATTAAAATTAACCGACGTTTAACAATTTTTGATTTTTTTTTTTTTATTAATTAAATTAAAACAAAAAAAAAATATTTTTAAAAAATTGCACGTATAATTTTTAGAACTTTCTACATGTGAAATTTTGTCAATTAATTTTTTTTTAATCATTTTTTCAATAAAAACTTTATTATTAGTATTCTTTTTTTGATTACTAATTAAGTTGCTATATCTCCTAAAATATTGAAGTTAGCCCTGTAGTATAAAAACGTTTTTTATAGTAAATTTTCGAAGCTACAGTTTTGGTCTTATGATTTTTCTCAAAATTCAATATTTCAGGAGTTATAGTCATTTTTAATTTTTATGAGATTGTTTTAAAGGTCAAAATCAAAAGAAAATTTTTTTGTCAACTAAACTAACTATTTCTTCTTTAAAATGACCAGGAATGGGTGAAGAACCAATCCAACAACAACCACAAGCCCCACCAGCCCCAAAGCAGCCAGAATATTACAAAGCAAAAGAGCCAGATCCAAACGAAGTGTCACCTCTGGAAAAGCCGACAGAAGGTGGACAGTGGGCTCTATTCAAGTGGGGCCTCGTCTATCCCATTCATTATACATGTCGGGCAACAATGCCAGACTGCCGACAGGAGAAATGGCGTAGCTGGTACCCATTTACCTTCTGTATCTCCATGATATGGATTAGCTTCTACAGTTATATAATGGTCTGGATGATCACAATAATCGGCAAGTCTATAATCAATTAAATTAATCACAAAAAATTTTAATTATTAATAACACAATACGATTGATCCTTCCAGGAAGTACCTTAGGGATTCCAGACACAGTTATGGGCTTGACATTCGTAGCAGCCGGAGTGAGTGTTCCTGACGCGCTGTCTTCTCTGGCCGTCATCAAAGAGGGTCTGGGTGACATGGCTGTGAGTAATGCGGTCGGTAGCAATGTCTTTGATATTCTGGTGTGTCTTGGACTTCCTTGGTTCATCCAAACTGCCATGATCCAACCTGGTTCTCATGTTAATGTTACTAGTAGAGGTAACTCATTTTTTTTTTTTTTTCATCTAAAATTATTATGAAATTATTTTGATAAGTTTTTAATTTTATTTAACAAAAAAAATTGCATTTTTTATTTTTTTAAATTTCTGCATGTCAATATTTTTTTTGCCATAATTTATTTGTTAAAAAAAATTCTAAAAATTATTAATAATCATAAAATAATTTCTTAATTTTTATCTATAATTAAAAATTAAAAATTGTTCTTAAATTACAGGTCTTACGTACTCAACTCTTTCATTACTTTCAACCGTGGTCTTTTTAGTAGTAGCGACTCACTTGAACGGCTGGAAACTAGATCGAAGATACGGAGTAATACTGATGGTTTGGTACCTAATTTTCATAGTCTTCGCTTCATTATACGAGCTCAATGTCTTCGGTCAAATGAATCCACCTGTTTGTCCCAGCGTGTTTTAATCGAGTAGCCAATTAACTCCATTGTTAATGCTGTCATTAACATCATTATTGTTACCATTATCACATCAAATTATAATAATTATCTCCAGATTAACTAGCTTTTGTGCGTTTAAAACAAGTGCCCTCAAATGGCTAGTTTAATTTAATTAATGGAGATTACTGTAATTTAAATACGTCAGAATTTTTACTGTAGAACAGTACAGTTTATCAGTATTAAGTTGTCCTGGTTATTTAATTTTATTATTATTTTTTTTATTAAGACAAAAGACCAAATTATTGACACAATTTTATTCTAATTAAAAAAATAAAATTTATAATTAAAAAATTATATTTATTAATTTATTAGTTGATTTTTTTTAATTAAAATAAAACTGCAAGGTCAGTAATTGGGTTTTTTTTTATCTTATAATATTATTATTAAATACAAAAGCCTATATGGAGGACAAATGTTTAACCAGTCAATAGTAAATGCATTGCAATTGTTAATACCTAATTACCAAAAACAATGAAGAAATAACAATAAATAAAATAACGATTGATAGTCTTGATATCGTCCTATATACGGCATTTGATTAGATGTTTATGGGTGAAGACATCGAATATATTTAAACAAAAAAAAAAAAAAAAAATTTTACTTATATATATTTACAAAGCTTTAGCCTAATTTTTTAAACTAGCTTTTTGTCAATCATTTTAATAACCACAAATAATATTGCATAGGCCTAAAACGCGTTGATATTTATATAAAATTTATAAAAATGAAAAAAAAAAAATAATTAATTAAAGACATACGACGGATGGTGAGTGTACTAGCAGATTCGCTTCTTCCCATCTTATAAAACGTTACTAATTCTAATTGCTATTGATACTTATATTAGCGGAATAGTTACTTATGTAAATTTCTTCCTTCATCGCATGTTTCTTCCTCAAAGTACTTATGTAATTTAATTATTAAATTATTAAATGAAAAACAATTGCTCACACCACCCGCTCGTTAGTCGGCATTTAAATTTAAATAATAAAGTCATCACGAGTGTATTCATAGATTATTTATATTAATTAATTATTATGTATTGTATTGGATTGTATTATTATTAGCATAGTTTGATAAAATTCTGCGATGGCACGGCCGCTTTAAGATTACTCGGCGATTGAGATCAAAGAGATTTCTCGTGGCGAGAAGTTTTATGTGAAGTGTAAAGGCATCCTGTGCCTTTTTTATCAGCGCTCAGAAATTAACTCTCTTGTGGGGGGATTATAATTATGAGAAGAGGTGAGAAGAAATTGAGGGATTTTATTTAAAAGGGTTTGAGGAAGTTTGAGTTAATGGAGAAGGAGCTAATATAAGAAGAAATAAATAATAATAATAATAATAATAATAATAATAATAATAAAGAAGAAGTTTAAAATAAAGAAGAAATTTAAAGTAAGAAGAAATAAAAATAATAACAAAAATTAAGAAGAAATAAAAAAATAGAGAAGAAATTTAAAATAAAGAAGAAATACAAAATAAAAAAAAATTTTAACAAAGAAGAAATAAAAAAAAATTTTTAATAAAGAAGAAACCAAAAAAATTTTTTTAATAAAGAAGAAATAAAAATTAAGAAGAAATAAAAAATAAAGAAATTAAAAAAAAATTTTTTAATAAAGAAGAAATAAAAATAAAGAAGAAAAAAAATTAAGACGAAAAAAAAATAAAGAAAAAATAAAAAAAGAGCGACCTTATGACTAAGAAGACAATAATTGAATCAGCCTTATCCAATGAAAGTATCTACACCATTGAAAACTCTGCGCGTTCCTTGGATATGTAATAAAACTCTTATGCACCAGAATCCTTTGATCTTTCAATACAACTGACGCTCCGTCACCAGAATCGTGGATCAGTTTTATTACCCTGGCGTCCTGATAAAAATTCACTCGTATCGGCCGGTGCCACGTTGTTCACTATAAATTATTGATTATTATTATTAATTAAATTAAATTAAATTAAATGTTTAATATTAAATTTAAATCAAGACACAAGACCAATTGTAAGCTTTATTATTGTTTGATTACTTACCGTAGTTATAGATGTTAGATATACATACATATAAATATATTTAAATATTATATATACACATACATTTATGGCTGTTGAACGTTTTAATGTTGTCCTTGTCATATTATTAATGATAATATAAATCCCCGTGGAATTAGCGAGTGAGTGAGATTTAATAAGGGATGACGGGATGTAATTTGCGATCGCAAGGATCGCGCAGTGAATATTTTAACGTAATTATAAATATATATATATATATATATATTGAAGTATACATGAAAAAATTTATTATTTATTATTTGTAATAAATATACCTATTGTGAAGAAATAAATAATTAATATTAATATGTATTATATAAGCATTGTATGCTTAGATCGGTTGAAAGTTTCTGGTTAATCACTGTGTTAATAATCTTTTAGCGTTAGAAACGATGCATTGTTACTATATACACTATTATTATTATTAATATATATTGTATTTATTATTATTATATTATTTATTTTTATTAAAATCTATTTTTAAGATGAAAAGCCCAATTGTTTTTTTTTTTTATCTTGAGAAGAAATATAAAAATAATAATTTTAATTATAATTAATTAATTTTTTGTCTAAAATTAATTATAATTATCTAAAATTAATTATTTTTTAAGTGTTGAAGAAAAAAAAAAAACATTTGGGCTATTTATCTTCATTTAAAAATTTATAATAGAAGAAAAATAATTTTTTTTTTTAAAGAAGAAATAAAATCTGTATATAATTTATTAAAAATTCTAAACAATTATAAAAAAAAAAATTAATTAAATATATATATGCTCAGGCTATCAACGAATTATATCTTCCCTCAGAGTCAAATTGTTCTTATCTGTTTAATTATATATACTTGTCTGAATATTAATTATTTGTTGATAAAAAATAATATGGTTTGAATATATATCGAAAATATTGTATTAATTAATTAATTAATTATTATATAAATATACGAATGAATTTAAGGAATTGGTAAAAGGGTCAATATAGATATGTAGCTGTTGTGATAAATATATTTATGTAATTAATAGTTTTGCAATATGGTAACTTACAGTAGACTTGATTTGTTTGTTAAATAAATAATTAATAATAATAAATAGTTATATATATAATAATAATAATAAAAATATATATATATATTATAATAAAATTTAATGAGTGCAAATTTTTATTCTTAATAGTGTACTTTATTTAAATGTATTATTTCTTTGCTATATAAAATTTATTTAGAAAAACTAAATTTTGTCTAATTATTTCTTCACAAATTTTAATTATTTAATTAATTTTTTTTACAGCTGTCATAATCACTGAAGTCAGTAAAATAAATAAAAAAATTGGAGCTTTTAAAAACGCCCGTAGTGGCGCTAGTTGCGGGTGAACTAAGAACTAAGGAGTTAAGAGCTGTCAGAAAAAATAACAATACCAATCAGTTCCACATGGTTATGACATCTGTTAATTACAATTTAATTGACATAAATATTAAACAGTTAATTGTTAATTATTAATTAAGAATTGTACTTTATTAATATTAAATTTTAATTGTGGTTTTGTGTTAACTTTTTTTATTTTTGTTACTCTTATACAAAACAAAAAAATAATACAATGAAAGGTCTGTTAATTTTCGACCATCTCAATGATGTCTTGTTTACAAAGTGTAATAAAAAATTTACTAATCATATGGAAAGTTTGGCAAAATTACAAGGATTGATATCTGAAGAGGTAATTTAATTAATTTTTATTTTTATTTATGAGAATTAATTTATCATATATTTAATAATTTTTAAAAAATAAATTACTTTAAAAAATTCTAGCTAAAAAATTATAAATGTCATTTTTTAACAATAATTATCTAAACTTAGTTTATTTTTTTTCTAATTATTATTGTTATTTATTTTTAGGATGAAAATTCAATCCAACTGAGTGGAAATATTTTAATGCAACTATTTTCACCGATAGTTACGTCCCAGCAAGTAATGACAACACAATTCGGTAATTCGTATTCATCAATGAAGTGTCAGGATGGTACTAATATGGTGTTTGATGATTTTATGGGTTACACATTTATTTATGTCGCTACGGATGACACTGAGCTGATGAAGAGAACTTTGGGAGTTTGTATAACTATTGTGGGTCATATTTGTGGGCCTGATGTTGCTGTGTATGTATTTACAAACTTTTTTCTCATCATTAATTTAATTAACTTCATGAATTCCAAATTCGACAAACATTTTATATTTTTTAAATTATTTATTACAAGACAATTTTAAAAATAATATTTGTTGGCTAATTTTAATAAAAAATTATTATTAAGTAATAATATTTAATTAATTAAATTAAATTTATATATAAATAATATATAATTCATTAAAATAAATTTATTATTGACCAATATTTAATTAATTAAATTAAAATTCTTATTAAATAAAAAAAAAATTATTATTTTAGATTAAAATCAAGCAAGCACAAAGCTCAGCTGGTCTCTTCCCTTCTGGACGCTTGGAAAGAGCTCCGCGAAGAAGAGCAAAGTCTTTTAACAGAATCAGTTGAACAATTGTCCGTAAATGCAGACTTAGCATCATCAACTTTAAAAATCCTACGTGACGCAGCCGACAAACTGAAAGCCCAGTCAGATTTTCCCAACGTGCATGTGCTAGTATTAGTAGACCACAAATTTCTGTCCTTATACTCAACAAAAAACGCCCAGGACCTCAACGCAGCAGACATTCTGCTGATGGTCCTGTTGTGTAAAGTTATCAGCGACAATGCAAAGCCCGAGGGAGCAGAAGCTGCGGACTTGCTCTGGAGCCAAAGTAATTCTTCCCCGGAAGAGCCGCTGAGCATCGACAGCAAGCTAGCGAACCCCACGTCAGCTGACATAATGCACTTGTTCAACGATTCAAGAGATTCTTCAGTGAATGAAGGTATTTGATCTATCTCTAGATACATAATTAAGAAATGACCTTGTATCTTGTGAACTATTGACATTTTTAAAGATATAAGCTCATCCTGATGTTACACTCATCGAGACCTTTCATTTGAGTACCCACATCAATTTTTCATATATTTTATATATTTATATATATCAGAAATACTATATATATATATATAAAATATATGAAAATTGTCATGTGGGTACTTAAATGAAAGGTCTCGATGAGTGTAATGTTGGGGTGAGCTTATATCTTTAAAAATGTCAACAATTAAGAAGTGACCTTGTATCTTGTCAATTATTGATATTTTTAAAGATATAAGCTCATCATGATGTTACACTAATCAAAAGCTTTCATTTGAGTACCCACACGCATTTTGATATATTTTTTATATATTCATATAT